GCACACATGGTGACGTGCGTGTCTGTTAAAATTTGAAAATTCTCCATATTACTATTCAGATAGTTTAAAGAACGTTTCGGGTCATTTTCAGCATTTCAAAACTTTCCATAATTTACCCGCCGTACGTTCATTTTCACGCACACAGCACATATTATTAAAGCTGGAAATCACGTCAATCAGCACCGCGTGATCTTAATGAGGGTCAAAGTACGGCGGATCACCTAACTCGTCCTCAGTGACGAGTTAGGTGAATTGGGGGTCACCTTTCATCCTAAGGAGCTATAACTGATTAAAAATATTTTATGCATATATAAATGTTGACGCACGCGTACGTGCACGATAAAAAGCGCGAACGGAAAATTAAGGTACACAACATTTAACCTTGACCTGAAGCTTATGCTCACCTAATATGATTTAGAAATGACGAGTGGTTAAGATTATATGGGCTCATCAACGTTTTAAAGAAAGAGAAATGAGGTGGTCAGAAAAAACAATTTTTTTGACCATGATGACGTCATCACAATGTAAAAAGAAGTCAAATATATGAAAGAGAATTGTCTCAGCTATAACATACTCAAAGTTGGAAGACGATCGATCAAGGATAAGCGAGATACGCTCAAATGCCTATTTTCAAAAATGACGTCATAGCTATAATTCACTTTCTTTAAATTCAGATGCCAATATGATGACGTCACAATGTCCGATCAGCCATTATGAAGTCAAAAATCGTATCTACAACTCATGCGCTTTCAGTATATGTAATAAAAATTGGGGGTCACCTTTCAACCTAAGGAGCTATAACTGATTAAAAATAGGCCTGATTTTAGCATAATTTCACTGTATAGCGGCACAAATACGCACAAAGATACCTATGTTTGATGCGCACGTACGGCATTGCTATTGGCCAAAAGATAACCGAAAAGAATGCAAATTTGTGAAAACATTGTCAGGAACCCAAAACTTGTAAAATAACGTAATTTCTAGCTTTCGTACGTGCTGCGCACATAAAAATGCGCGCGCGTAGTGGAAAATTTCAAAAAAATTTGAAATGCTCAAAATGGCCAAAAACGTTTTCTAATTTAGTCAAAAAGTGATTTTAAGCATTTTGAAAGTTTGACGCACGCGTGCGCGCGCGTTAATAAGCGCACGCGTAAAATTAGGGTACTGTACATTCAACATTAACCAAAAGTTAATGCTCACTTAATACGATTTCGAAATGGCAATTGGTTAAGTTAATGCTCACTTAATACGATTTCGAAATGGCAATTGGTTAGGCTGATATGATCGATAATGAAAATTGCGCGTAGATGACGTCACGCATGACTGAGCACGTTAGAAAGCTTACCATGACTATTCCAGACCAAGCCAAATGTCCGTTGACAGCGATTGTGCGGTAAGTCGTGGCAGTTTTTGAGATATCGTGCGAACAGAAAAGGGGAGAAAGAAAGAAGAATAAAAAAAAGATGAAGATGATGATGATCCTGACAATAGCAATAGGTGATCCGCACTAGTTGCGGATCACCAAAAAGTCTTGCCTAAGTGAAATGCTGTCAAATATTTCATAAAATTTTTAACCTTTTAATAATGTTAATATTATACCATTTATTTCATAGAAATATTTGGAATGGGTAAACTACATAAGGATATAGCACAATTAATGGTTCAGTGCATTGAGGAAGAAGAAACTACAGAGCAACAAGTAATTAAGGTATGGAGAGTACTACAGGCTAATATACAAGGCTTCTTTGTATTTATTAGAAATATATTAACAAGCAGTGATTGTCTACACTCATAGTGTAGCACTATTTTATTAGCCCACTCTCTGAGAGAGAGGGCTTATATGATGATTCTGAGCGAATTTTGAAGTCATTTGTTTTTCTATCTCTTCCTTCGTTTGTAACGCGATTAGGTCGATCTTGCAATAATATGCAAAATAAGGCCTGGTGAATTTAAAGTATGCAGAGATTTTGCGAAAATATTATCGGGAAATATGTGAAAAAGTATGTTTTTACATCATACACTACGGTGGGTTTCCTATGAAAGCGAGTTCATCATTGATCAGATTGCCGTCATTGATCAGATTGCAAATCGCCTGTATATTCCACATTGTGTTTATCAACCAATCACGGCCTGGGATGGTAAGCCTTCCGGCTAATAAATGCATCTGCACGAGTCTAGTTGGTAGCGAAGAATGAGCCGTTTTTTGGTGCTTGCAAGGGTGGGTGGTCTCTTCTCTGAGAGATAAACAATATACGCTACTGTAATGCAGGCTGGCCTGGAGCTAGAAGACGAACTAGGCCTATAGGCTGGCTGGGTAGTACGTGTGTGTAATAGATCAGATAACAGGAAATGTAGGCTATAAGTTGCTTTTATGTGTATTAAACCACATAAGCGATGAGTGTATGTGTGCAGCACATTTTGTGTCAATGTACTGTAATGCAGGCTGGCCTGACCATGGAGTTATAATTAATTTTATAACTCCATGGCCTGACGAAGACGAATAGGCTGGCTGGCTGGGTACGTACGTGTGTGTAGGCCTAGGCCCTAGTCTAGATCAGATACTACAGGAAATAAATGTAGGCTACAAGTTGCTTTTATGTGTATTAAACCACACATTCAAATCAGTCAGTAGCGATGAGTGTATGTACAGCATATTTCGTGTGACGAGGACGTTGCCGTTAGATACATGAAAGCAAGGTTCCACATAGAATTTTTGTTCTATTGAGACGGTAGCTTTTCAGCATTGCTCTAGGATGATTTTCCTTTACATATGAATTTTTTTAGCTTTTCGTACCCTACACTTGGCTATCTGTAGCCAACCACATAGGCCTAGGTACGTAATATATTAGATCAGATGTTAATTACATAAAATGTAGGCCGACAGTCGTATTTAATGGGGGCGGAGTCTTTTTTCGCGATTTACCATGGGATGGCTACTGTCATCGTTACCTAGACTTGTAGACAGGGTTGGATCCAGAGATATCCAAAAGGGGGGGGGGGCCGAAATTTGGGCCGATCGAGACAACAATGTCCTAGGGGTTCCGGGGGCATGCCCCCGCGAAATTTTTTGCGTTCTAGACGCCCGAAAATAACATTTGAGGCGTTGTGGGCTATCATTTTTTTCTGTTTCTTTCTTTTTTTTTTTAATTTCTTTTTTTACCTCTCAAAAGGGGGGGCCGGGGCGCCGTTGTCCATATGGTAATGATGAATATCGTTAGTGTACCTATTGACTGATGAGGCATGATTTTCAATGGCATTCCATTCCAACCATGGTATAACCAGTTGGTAAATAGCCCAGTAATGAGATATTTTGTTTAGATTTCACAGCGTGTTCCATGTAAATTATTAAAACATTGCCTATAATCTATTAATGTACTAGTATATTATCTAATCTAGTAATGTATATATTTAAAAACATATTGTATTCATACTACTTAATACTGTACAGGTGTCATTCATATATATATATATATATATATATATATATATATATATACAGTATATATATATATACAGTATATATATAAACTGTATAGATATGTGTATGTATATATATGATATTGAAGGGAGTTAGCCGTTAACACTGTTGAATAAATATAATATAAATCATCAAAGGTACATATGCAGTGTTTAAATATCATGTATAATATACGACAGTATTTCTAGCCGTATTGCCAGATTTATCTGGCCGAACGCCCCCTTTAGGCGTAGCATTGTGTAATACAATGTTCCCGACGGTTATTTGGACCTGTTCAACCATAAAGCCTTCGTGGTCTAGTGGTTATGACGCTCACCTTGTCAGCGAGAGGTCGCAGGTTCAAATCCCGTCGGAGGCATTTTGATACACAATGACTTTTATAGAACTTTATTCGTTGAAAAGCTACAGGGTAGCCTACGATGTTCCATCATGTCCTTATTTAAACACTGTATATGTACCTTTGATGAATTATATTATATGTATATATATATATATATATATGTATGTATATATATGTATATGTATGTATATATATGTATATGTATGTATATATATGTATATGTATGTATATATATATGTATATATATATATATGTATATATATGTATATATTTATGTATATATGTATATATTTGTATATAATATGTATGTATGTATATATATGTATGTATATGTATGTGCGTATATGTATGTATGTGTATGTAAGTATTTATGTACTGAAATATATATATTGGTGAGGACTTTTTTCTCTACGTTCTTATACTCACGAGGACACTCAGGAACATGTGAGGACATATTTCGTGTCCTCGTTTTATTTAAGCCTGCACACGCTCATTCTGGGTCTGTTCTACTCTGTTAGACCCTCAGTTTAAATGCTCTCTTTTAGCTATGTTTTCCTATACAACAATACATTTACCATACCGTTTTAAATGAACAGCGCCCTCTATAATGATGTTGCATGCGCGCGCATCTCTCGGCCGCCATATGAGGATTTCCCTCCCATCACCAGCTGCAATGGATCCCACTATGGATATTGTCAAAGGTAAGTTTAGACAATCATATTTTTTAACCACTTGGCTTGACTAACGTATGCTACGTAGCTAGTCTATGCAGAGCTAGGCCTACGCCTCTAGGCTTGTTTGTATGTACCTACTGGACGTAGGCCTAGGCTAGGGCTCTAGGGTCTACGCCTACTTAGGCTAGCTAGGCCTAGGCCTGTCTAGGCCTAAGAAGGTTTTAGCTAGGGGCCTAGCTAGGCCTAGTAGTACCTGTGCCTAGGCCTACAACTAGTAATCTAGGCCTATGTCTAGCCTCTACCCTCCTAAACGTGGGCCTAGGTTCTAAGCGTAGCAGGAGGATAGGGTCCATCGCATTGACCCAATGAAACGGAATTGCCTGCCACAATGGATACTACAATGAAATGGAATTACCACAATGAAACAGAATTACCACAATACCAAAATAAAACGTAATTTCCACTATGAAAACACAAATAAATGAAAGAATTTACCCCAACAAATGAAAAAAAAACACCATAATTATTTAAGTTGCAGTACTGTTGTAGCCTTCAAGTTTGAATTTTGTGTACTGTTGTTATTGTACTTGTAGGCCTATCCTAGCATAGGCCAAGCATTGTTATTTATTTCTGTTTTATATTTGATTATATCAGGGCTGTAAAAAGTTACATTTTTCTGCTAGACCCAGGTCTAGTTGGCCTAAAAAAATTACTAGCTCAGATTATATTTTTACTAGACCTTTGATGATGCATTTTTATACGTCGCCGGTCAACACAAGTATATCTTTAGGTTGGTTTTAATGTGTTCGCTCGGTGGGTATGCAAGTGGAGAATGATTACTGTTTTTACATTGCAATGCATTGGTCTTACACCAGGGGTGAACCGGTGTGGCAGGGTCAACCAGTGTGGCAGGGTCATGTGCAGGGGTTTAATAGTAACGACAAGAAAATAAAATGAGCACTCTAGGAATCCAATTTTAACACCATAAGAAAACGTTTATTTTTACAACAATGAAATAAAAGGCTTAATAGCCTAATCGTGATAATATAGTGTTATAATAAATGGCGAAAATATAACGGTCAATTTTACTATCACAGTGTAACCTGCGCTATTCATCATTACCGTGACAAATCTACATCTAGCTAGGCCAACTAGGTAGGTATGCCTACCGTGACATGTCCCTGGCCCTGGGACATGTAATTGTAACGGTAGGGCTAGGCCTAGCCCTACGACCAGGCTAGCTTAGATAATAACAATCTTCCTATTAATAATTTGCTATTTATAATTTCACTTTTCTTTACTGTAATGTCAGTCGTCGTGAACTGTCAAACTTGTCAGAATAACTTTCCTTCCATCGATCGCGAATGACGACAAATGAAATATATATGGTATGGTGTGCCAACTATGAAAAAATACATACAAAGTAATATTTATTATTGTACAAGATTCCGAATATATTTGGGTGAAAAATATGTGAATTATTCATCGTATAAATTTAAACATTTTCCGTGTAGATACAAAACATTCGAATTATCACCGCCGAATTGTTAAATTAATTTCAGTAAAATGCCGAACCAGGCGTGCCATACTTTCCCGTTTATGCAAGGGCGCCACCAATTTTGAGTGGCATAATGTATGACGGGCATTCTTCGGTCGTATGTACAGTATTTTAATTTAATTAACCACCAAAATTTGGGCTACAGGTATGCGGTAAATTAATGTATCTTATTACTTTACCGGACTAAATAGAAACCATAAAAACGAATGACTTGCCTAGACATTTAACTACAATCTACTCCATTCTGAATGCGTCGCTAGCTACGTGCCATGATTTCCCAGCAGAGCGGCGAGCAAGCTTTGCGAGGAGCTACCATGTAAACACGCACCGCGCCCGGATTGCTTACGGTACGACGATAGATAAACAATAATTCTACTCTTGTTTTCTTGTTATA